GAGTGTGTGTGTGTGCGCGTATGTTTGGGTGTGTGTTTGTGTTTAAATTCCCGTGCCTTGTATGTATGTATAAATATGCGTGTTTTTGAGTGTGTTTGGATTTGTATGAATGTGTGATGACATTGGTTTGTGTGTACGTGTGTGTCTCTGTACGTTTGTATATATATATGTGTGTATGTGTGTGTCTTTATGAATGTGTATGTGCGTTCGTGTATGAAAATGTCATCAACATCACTGCCACCACCATCATCCGCACCACATCCCCCTCATCACCACCACCATCACCACCACCATCACCACCACCATCATCATCACCACCACCACCCATCATCATCACCACCACCACGACAACCATTACCAGGGTTATAGTTGAGACGAAGGAGCTATAAGCCGCCAGTAATTAAATATCTTGATCAATACTGTATATTATTGATGTGTTCCCCAGGCCCGGTTCGCCCTTATGACGTCACTGAGGAAGGACGACAGTAACAAAGGTAATATTCTAGCGTTGGTCATAGATTTATGTTCCTAGACTACGCACTGTAACCAAGGTAATGTTGTACTGCTGATCTTCATTTGTACTCCTAGACTACGCCTGTAACCAAGGTAATAATATGGTTATGCTGGTCATAGATTTGTACTCCTAGACCACGCACTGTTATGGCCGCCGCTTTCGCTCTACATAAAAATATATTGCCGTGCGAAGCGTTCGCCCCATGGATTACTTGGTTACTTGATGCCAGAAGTGAGGTCTTTGGAGACAGGTTCTATACATTGAGGTATAATGTACCAATGTGGAATGTGGAATTCATTGTGGAAAAATGTACATTTTATAATGCCTGTTGCAACTGTTACGTGAGGTATCAGGATTTAGATAATACCTTTCTTTTAATCAGTAGTCACTTTTCGGTTACAGGGTACTAGAGGACAAAAAATAAAACAAAGAGCACTTTTAAGCGTGCGTTTCTTCACTCACTCTGAATCAGTACCCACAGACCGAACAATATTACACCCATAACTTCTCACCCTTCCTCAGCAGGGTACATCATCTCATCGTTCGAGAATTGACACCTTCACTGTCAGGGCCGAGAACTGAGTTAGGGAACAAGTCTAGGAGTAAAGCGCATTCCTGCGTTTCTTAAATATCAGTCTATTGGCATACAAATTCATTGTAGGCTACTTTTTAAAATTGATTTTAGATGTTTCGTTACGTGGTTGTTCCCTCTCAACCGACGGCCCAATAACCGCAGACACAATCGATACCACAATGAAAACGACACAGGGCTGATTTGGCAGAGATGACCTCTGAGTTTGGAAAACACCGTCCTGCCCTTCACATTCTAAAAAAAAAGTTCCCCTTAGCCACTCGGACTTGGTGGATGAAATCAAGAAAAAGTAATTACCTGCCTTGAATAATTTTAAAGAAACCCATTTAAATGTGCAGGAATGAGGCCTATAAGTGATACACAGACCAGATTCTTACCCAGTATTGCCCGGATTGTCTTCTCTCAATAAGACGCTACCTTAGAATTACAAAGTTCTATCTGCTCAACACCAAGTTCTGAGGAATTTGACGTAATTTTTTTTTTCGTTTCACAACTTATCAAGCTTTTTCGAATGCAACTCTTTGAATGTTCTGACCACTCTGATTAATCTTACAAATCCGATAGAGCAGATAGAACATTTGGTTTCTGACATCATTGTCTCAATAACTCAAAACAGCCAAACATGTATAATAGAACTAATTCTAAGGTTAAGGTTATGCCGCAAAGAAAAGTCATATGGAATTAAGCCCCTGTGATTAAGCATGGCGTGTGTGGAAATGAATACGACCCATGCTATGTACAAATTTGATTATTCAAATTAGTGTTTTGTTAAATCTTTCGAAAGTTTATTTCTTGCAACTACAAACTTTATAGTGCCCTATTTTCCCTTCCTCTAAAGTGTGCTGTACAATGCCTCCCTGATCTGATCTGATCTGATCTCATCTCATCTCATGTCATCTCATCTCATTTAATCTATCTCTTCTCATCTCATCTCTCCTCACCTTACTTGACCTCACCTGACCTCTCCTGACCTGACCTCACCTCACCTAACTTCATCTGACTTCACCTCACTTCACCTTACCTTACCTCACCTCATTTCACCGTACCTTACTTTACCTTACCTTACCTTACCTTTCCTTTCCTTACCTTACCTTACCTTACCTTACCTTACCTTACCTTACCTTACCTTACCTTACCTTACCTTACCTCACCTCACCTTACCACACTTCACCTTACTTTACCTCACCTTACTTTACCCTACCTCACCTCACCTTACCTTACCTTCTCTTACCTTATCTTACCTCACCTTACCTTACCTTACCGTACCTTACATTACCTTACCTCAACTTACCTGTACCCGTCCCCAGACAGCAACCAATGTGCCCTGATCTCCCGTGAGTCTCTGCATAACGTGCTGGTCGTAGAGTGGATCTTGGACAGAGTAAACGCCGCTAACAACGGAACAGGATATGTGCCAGGGATCAAGATTGGTGAGTCAAGTTTTATCTGTCTGTCTGTCTGTCTGTCTGTCTGTCTGTCTGTCTGTCTGTCTGTCTGTCTGTATGTCTGTCTGTCTGTCTGTCTATCCTTGTCAGTCTGTCTTTGTCTGTCTGTCTATCTATTTGTGTGTCTGTCAGTTTGTCTGTTTGTCAGTGTATCTGTCAGTCTAGTCTATCTATCTGCCTATCCCTCTGTCTGTCTGTCTTTGTTTGTTTGTCTCTTTGTGTGTGCTTGTGTGTGTGTGTGTGTGTGTGTGTGTGTGTGTGTGTGTGTGTGTGTGTGTGTGCGTGTGTGTGTGTGTTTACGCGTGTGCTGGTGTGGGTTTGTACCTATATTCGTTTCCGTGAACTGAAGTCTGTTGTGTGCATATGTGTGTGTGTGTGTGTGTGTGTGTGTGTGTGTGTGTGTGAGAGAGAGAGTGCGTGCGTGCGTGTGCGCGCGTGCGTGTGTGTGTGTGTGCGTGTGTGTGTGTGTGTGCGTGTGTGTGTGTCTGTGTGTATCTGTGTATGCAAGTATGTATATTGTATGTCTGTTTTATGTGTGTGGGGGGAGGGAGGTTGGGGGTGGAGTAGCTAATGATCTTTCAACATACTAAGCACAAACATGTCTTTGTGATAGATGGAAAGAAAAAGGAAAAAATATAGGAGGAAGAAAATCTGACATAGAACTACGTAGTAAATTAATGTCTTATATATATATTGTCTTTGGAATGTGTATAGACGTTAGCGTAGAGTAAAAAAATAAAAGGATGTTTAGCGCAAACAGATGCTATGCTCCGGTAGGTTCATGCTTGTTAAACGCATTATACACTAGTAAAGAAGACGAATGACTGCAGAGGCGGTAATAAAATTAGACTTACACGATATACCAAAATAATATTGCATGAGATTTCCTGGGGATAGGCCAAGATGTCTGTGCTTGTGAACCAAGAGTAAATGAGACTGATTAAATAAGAGAAAAAAATGAGGAAAGGGGAGGGGGGGGGGCAAAGAAAGGATTGATACAAAAACAAAATAGCACGTATGGTTAGGGGTGCGTTTGCCTTTTGGTTGTGCGTGGAAAGGATCTGATGAATAGCGGAAACGCGACAGAGGCAAGAGAGGCGACAGACGAAATATGAAAAGCACACTTGGGTCTTTGCATTTTGCCTTAGAGTTATGGGACGTCTGGCTCCCCCAAAAAGGAGGGGGGG